AAGACTTCATTTTGCTTGAATCCACAATCAACATTCATGGAAGCAGCATTCAAGAAATCAAATGACATACTGCATGAGGCAAATCTGTCCCACAAGACCTCTTTAAAGTGTTCAAGAGCAGAGGTATCGGTTTGTGGACTAAGGTGTACCTAACCCAAGCCATGGTATTTTCAATTGTCTCAAATGCTGTGAAAGTTGAACAAGAATATTGAAAGTACCATGGAGTGCCAGAAGAACAAACAAACCTGTGTTGGAAGAAGTATTATCAGAATGTTCCTTAGAAGCCAGGATTATAAGACTTTGTCTTTCATACTTTGGACATGCTATCAGAAGGGACCAGTCCCTTCTCATAAAATGGAAGGTCAGTGAAAAAATAGAAGATCCCAGTGAAACAGAATGGCACAGTGGGAGTAGCAATAAGCTTAAGGATAACAAGAATTCTGAGGATGGTACAGGACCACGCAGTGTTTCTGTTATGCATAGGGTCACTAAGAGTTGGACCTGACTCGATGGCATCTAACAACAGCAATAAAAAATATGAGGCCCATCCAATGACTAAGCTATTCTGTACTGAGGGACACCAAGATTGTCAGTAACCATAATCACAGAATTTTCTATGGAATGATTTAAAATCTACTTTTCTGCTGAGTTTTTATAGCCATTTTCTAAAGGCCTCTGTTTTGTTTCCAATTTCTCAATAATTCTTGTGTTGGAGATGGGTGCTTATTACAGTCCTCTACAAAGTCTTCTGAGTTAACATATTAAAAATATTGTCCACGGGAATGTTAAATTAAGGAAAGGGATGAAATATGCATTTAAAAATGAGATCTAAACAAGCAATTGAGAAGTTTCTATAAAGTTAAGAAACCGAGAATTTTCCAGGGATGATGCTAGGTGAAAAATATTTTAAAAATGTATATCTACATCTGTAATCCTGGTGTGGCACTGTAAGATAAGCACTGAGCTGTTAACCCCAAGGTTGATGGTTCAAACCCATCAGTTGCTCCTCAGAAACCCTATATAGTATTGTTGAGTCAGAACTGACTCAAAGGTACCTATCAGTACTTATACCTCTCTCTTTGTCTTTGTATCTATCTATTTAATCTTTAAGATACATTTTTAGGAACTCCTGGTCTTCTTCAAGTATCTAAAAGTTCTACTGGACCCATAGTGTGCTCTCACAATATCATATTTAAGTTTTTGATACATACCCAGGAAGTCAATATATCTTTTCCAAACAGAATCTTGGTATGAACGTTTTCATCTATTCCAATGTCACGAATGAGTGGTTCACTCTCCGTAGATGTTGAAGGTTTCTGGGGAATGCAAACACCAAGGATCTATTATCAAAATGTGGGCAGTTCAAACTTACCAGCTACTCTTTGAAAAACTGAGTTCTGGTGTGGCGCTGTGGGTTAATGCATTAGACTGCAAAATCATTTGAACCACAGGTCGATGGTTCAAGCTCACCAGCAGCTCCTCAGAAACCCTATACTGGGTCGCTATGGGTCAGAATCAACTCGATGGCAGTTAACAACAACAACAATACAGTGGTATGTGAAGATATTTGGTGCATTTCCGAAACCTTAATTTTCCAATTGATTTAATCATTCAAAAGGCATTTTTGAGGACTTCCAGGTAGCAAACGCAGTGTGAAAAATTGGTGAGGGTGGTGAAGTGGACATGGAAGTGCTATTGGGATGTAGGGGTTCCTACTCCTTCAAGGGAAGGTCCTTGTCGTAGCTGACCAGGAATGATCAGGTTAGAGGATTTCACAAAAGTAAAAGATTTAAGGATTTATTGAGAAGAAAAGATCTGGTCAGAGTTGATGAGGAGGGATTTATAATGTTAGCCCTCTTCTTTAGTTGGGATCTTTAAAGGATTCTTGGGCAGGGAAGGTGGGAAAGGCTTTCATGTTTATGATTCTTCTTAGGAAAGAAGTGGGGAAGTGGTGGGACTAGAATAATGAAGCGTGCATACAGCAAAGTTCAGAATGGAGTTGGTTCTGTCCATGGTGGAGTCTGCCGTAAAGGCATCTGGGAGGCACGCATGCATTCTGTCTTTTGACTGCAGTTTGAACTCTGGGCTGAGTTCAAGGTGTTTGGCCACTCTCAGTGGGAGGACATGCAGTGGTCAAGGATTTAGACATTGCTGCTTGTTCAAGGACTGGTCTGTAAGACACTTCTAAGGAGGTTTGTTAATCCCATAAAATATTCTTATCTCATTCATTCTAGGATCCAACTGCTCAGCTTTGTGCACCAGGCATGTCCTGTACATTTTTTTAATTGTTCAAGCAAAAGAAGAAGGGTACAGGCCTCAGCATTTCTCAAGAATTTGGTCAAAACATTTTGTTAGTAAATGGCCCAGGTTTGAATCCTGTTTCTTGGACTCCCTTTTCTCCCTGCCTCATTCTCCATTAAGAGATTTTATACTCATAATTCTTTATGGGAACATTAATGGAGGTCTCTTCTGTCATTTCTTCAAGCTGAGTAGGGTTGCCTGCTCTATCTGACTGAGTAGAAATCTCTCACTGACTGCTCTAGTGTTTTGTTATGCTTCTGGGACCTTTTTCTTTGGGACAGACTGGTGACTTCGTATGACTGTAAGTTTAGTTTGAAACTGCTGCTGTTTTTAAGATATTAAACTTAACTAGTAAATTGAGTATGCACAGGCCAAAGATTAATGACAATATAATGGTCATTAAAGTGTCAAAAGGGTAGGAACTAGGTAATTGACAGCAAATAGACCTTGACTTGATTTTATATTCTCTGGCTCCTCTGGGACTGGGCAGTCCATTTTGCTATAGGACGTGTAAGGCTCTAGTAAGACTTCACCTGAGGTGTTAATGTAAGATGGACCTTGGAGTGCTTCTGTCAATAACTGGGTGTTTTCATTTTATTCTTCTCTGCCAGATCCCTGTTGCTCAAGGTTTTTTTTAAGGGGCTTTCTCCGTCAGTCGTAAGAATAGACTCTGAGTCTTACTTCTGGTTTTTGTAACTTTTCAGTGTCTGCTACAGACTGAGTAATAAAATACATAGCCATTAAAGTCCTCCCCTCCAGGCTTTCAAGTCCTGTGTCTGTACATTTCCTAGAGATTTTAGTCAGCCCGGTGTGGAAGACTGTGTGGTTTCCTCTGCCTATCTGGGTTACCTTTTTTTTCCCTCCAGCTTTCTCTTTCTCTTATTGATCACACTGCCATTCTCTTGAGCTCTCTCAGCCTTATTCTTAGCTGTGAGCCGAAGCTGTGTGCTGGCAGAGGGTGAGAGTTAAGGTATCCCCCTCCCCCCACTTTTTTCTTTTTACAATGGTCACTAGCTGTTTGTTCATGCAGGCGGCTATACAGAAGAAGTTGGCTTTGGCCATATACATGACTGTCACCCATTTTCTTTTCATTGTATATGACTGACTTTAATAAGGCCATAATTCACTTAAAATAATGTTGTTAAGTACCATAGAGTTGGTTCCAACTCATAGTGACCCTGCATAGGGTTTCTGAGGAGCAGTTGGCAAGTTTGAATTGCCGACTTTGTGATTCACAGTCCAGTGCTTGTCCTGCAGCACCACACCAGGACTCCAATTTATAATAATACCCTTTAAAAGTGAAAAACTTGAACAATTTAATAGAAATTCATTATAGAAGTAAAGTACAGCCAAATAAAGTTGTTTTAAAACACTATAGACACAATAGTTTTAAATACAAATTAATATTATTTGTGAAAAACCTTAGATATACTATATAGCAGTTTTGAAATAATAGTCTTTATATTAAATCGTTGTTAAACAATTGAATTAAATATCAGGGTAAATGGTGCATTTTTTATGGTTAGACCCACTGGTTTTTGTGTTGTTACATTTAAAAGAAGCAACGTTGTGACTGAGTTTAGTGACTAAAAATTTGTATTAATAAAATTATGACACTATACATTGTGCCTGCTGTCTAATATTAGGCAAATACACAGGGAGAACCATCAATATGAATTCTCAGCCTAAATGAGAATCAGACATTGCTCTTATAAAATACAACCTTTTAGTACCTTTTTATAAACAGTTTTCTATGACTTTTTATGAGGTTTATTAGGTCAGGAGTTTATTATGTTTAGGAATTTGTTCTGTTAAAAACTTTACCTTTAAAACAAATTGCTCAATAATAAAATTAGTTCTTTAACCTGTGGACTAAGAAGCATTCTGTTACCTAACAGTGAGAAATTTTAACTTTTTTACAAGCTATTTGATGTTAAAGCTTCTAAAGATTCTTATGAATTAACAGATTAATCTTTTAGTTACAAGCACTGTATTTTTCTTTTGTTATAATTAATTCACTTAGTTAACTCTTTGTAATATTAAGACTATCTAACCCACGAGTATTTATCTGTAATTATCACGAAGGATTGCAGGTCACGTCACTGAGCTCTATTGTCATGGAACTTCAAACTTGATAGAGAAACAGGAACTTAGACACAGCAAACCCTCAGAACAGAGTGAAACAGTAATATTATACTTATTTTAAAACTTAAGTTTATAAAACACCATGTAATATAAACACCTGGGAACCCAGTTTGTTTAGGCATATATTAACTTTTTGATATCCAAATTAATATTGATATATTGTGGTCACACAGTATTGGAAAGAAACTTTATATTTTGTTTTCCCCCATAGGATTATAATTTAACTGAGGAAAAGTTCTCAGTTAAGATGCATTACGAATCGGGCTGCTAACCTCATGGACAGTAGTTCAAAAGTACCAGCTGTTCCATGGGAGAAAGATAAGACTTTCTGCTCCCGTAAAGGTTTACAGCTTCAGAAAACCTTTACAGGGGTCGCTATGAGTCAGAACTGAGTCCATGGCACATAACCACCAACACCAGGCTCTCTCTCTCTCTCCCTCTCTCTCTCTCTCTCACACACACACACACCCTTCCCCTCTCTCTTTCTCTCTTAATTAAACCTAGACTGCAACTAGAAAAAAACAGATGAAATCTTGTCTCTGGGCTGACCTGTCAGACTCGCTCCCCAGTTCTTCATGGGACTTTTACTGGTTCTTGGAAGAGAACCCAACTAACTATCACAAGGGACTTACACTCCTGGGGCTGATCATTAATGTGTGTGTATACTCTGTGCGCATTTCTCTCCGTTTCTTGTCAGTTTGGATGCCATGGAGTTCCCCTCCACAGCTGGTCAGAGGAAGGCTGGTGACCAGAGAACCTCATCAATCTTAGGAGGGCTGCACTGTTTTTGCTTGTTGCTCTCTCCAGGACTGAATGGATACCCAGGGGATGGAACCATAAAGGAGGAACCATTTTGGGTATTAAATTTGTCACCTCAAGGTGTTTGGGGCCATATAGTATTACAAAAGACAATTAAACTCTTTCTCTTAAAGGATTATATTTAGAAATTTGTTTAAAAAGCTACCAATGTTTAAAGAATGCACTCAAGGGGATAATCAGCCTTGAATGCATCCTTAAATCTAACTCAGTTCCCCATTTTTCTTAAAGGATTTTAATATTTCTTTAAATATTTAAATAGTACACAATATTAATAATTTGACTCTATACTCTAATGCTATACTCCTGGTGTGGTGCTGCAGGATAAGCACTGACTACTAACTTCAAGTTTGGCAACTCAAACCCACCAGCTGCTCCTTGGAAATGCTATACAGAGTCACTATGAGTCGGAGCCAACTCAATGGTACATAACAACTCCAGCGGCAACAGCTATTATGACAAAAAATGCTTAAAACTCTGGGTGCAAAATTTTGTAATTCTGTCTGGAGCATCATCCCCCACTAGGAGTCTTTCAATAAGTTTAAAAATTCAAAAGCAGCAAATTATTCAGAATGTTTGTCTCATCAATTAATTTCATCCTTTAAACTATCAGGTTAAAGTCCCTGTTCTATCCTTGGCTCTAAAAGACTAGTAAAATTACTTAAAGCTCTCAGAATAACTCATTGAAGAAATGGAAGTATTTCGTTAAAAACACCCTAGGCAGAATGCCAGGGTGAAGTGTGGTCAAAGAAACGACAGGAGAGAGAAGAAATACTTATACTTCACAATGTTGTTCATAGCTTGTCATGATCCACA